CGCTGCCAACGGCCTCGTCGCACCCGACAGCTGCCTCGCTGCCACGGCCCCACGCGCCTTCCCTCCTGCACTCGCCCGCCGTGCACATCCCACCAACCACCGCCGCAACATCATCATCATCATCATCTGCAGTGCGTGTGTGTCAGCAAGAAAACGCAACACTGCACTTTGCTGTTGTTGATGGATGACATGAACAGCAGCAGTGACACAACACTCGACTGACTAGCTGCCACCCCCCCCCCCAACACACACACACACACACTCTCTCTCTCTCTCTTTCTCCTCCCATTCAAGCTGTCGCACGCGGGGGAGCCATGCCTCGGTCAAGCAGGGCGTCGAAGAAGGCGGAGTTGACGGCTGCAGAGGAGCAGCTGCAGGCAACATACGAGCGCATGAAGAAGATGCTCACCAACGTGACAACGACGCTGCGGATTGGAGTGTCTGGTGCAGCGCACAAGGGCGACCAGGCAGGCCAAGGCAGTGCTGCTGGCAGTGGTAGCGGGCCAAGTAGTAGCAGCAGCAGCACCGCTGCCGCCACCAACGCAACAGGATCTGCCACAGCGGGCGTGAAGGACGCCAAAGGCGCAAGCCCGCACAAGTCTGGGCTTCGCGCCACAACAAAAAAGTCAACTGGTGTGCGTGTGTGTGCGTGTGTGTGTATGTGTGTGTGTGTGTGGCGTGTGTGTGTGTGTATGTGTGTGTGTGTGTGCGTGTGTGTGTGTGTGTGTGCGTGTGCATGTGTGTGTGCGTGTGTGTGTGTGTGTGTGTGTGCGTGTGTGTGTGTGTGTGTGTGTGTGTGTGCGTTTGTATGCATACACACACGCGCCTCGTAGCTTCCGGAGTTTGTGTCACTTAGCCAGCACCACATCTTTGCCCTTGTCACCACCTCTGCAGAAGGAGCGCGAGTTCAAGCGGAGGAGACGGCTGTCGTCATCACACAAGCCCGTGCCAGGCCCTGCAGCAGCAATGGCACCTGCACATGTCCCGCCAGCACCATCACACATGCCAGGGGAAGCGGCAGAGCCCATGGTGCGTGCACACGCACATGATGCGTGAACCTTGCTGCACGCAACCTCACACTGTTCTAATCTCTCACAACCAATGGTCTTGCGATGCTATCCTTCCTGCATGGCATCCCACGCCTTTATGCTCCCCCCCTTTCATGGCAATCCTTCCTCCCTCCTTGTGCTCACCACATCCTGCCCTCCTCCCCAGCCCAAACAATCGAAGGCAGAGGCAGCGGATTCCCTTCACAGCACCTTCGTCCGCGCTGGCAGTGCGCGACCACCCGCATCTCCGCCAACACACCAAACGGCGGCAGCGGTCCGGTCGCCGCGACCACACGCACAGCCGGCCGGCTCGCCGCTTCGGCACCAGGGCCTCCTGCCCACACCAGGCTCCCCGCGCAGTCAGCAGCACCAGCAGCATCAGGCGGCGACACCACCAGGGGCACTGCCTCCACATCACACGCCACCACAAACACCACCACAAACACCACCTCAGACACCACCGCAAACACCACCTCAGACACCACCGCAAACACCACCACAGACACCACCACAGACACCACCAGAGATGGATGAGGGGGAGGATGTGGCAGACCAGCCGCCACCTACCCCGCCCGTGTAATGAACCGTGATGCTGCTGTGGTGATGGCGAAGTGTGAGGTGGACGTAGGCGCGTTTGAGATGATGTGGTTGTGCACTTGTGCGGCAAATGCCAGTGCTTCGTGGTGTGTTTGGTGGTGGTTTGCTGATGTACAGCGGCACCACCCTGCGCCTCTTTCGTCGTTCAACCCCAATAGACGACTTCCTGACTGGTGTATTTCAAAGTCCATCGATAGCCGCACACACACACAATATCACAGTCGCACACACACACACACACACACAATATCACAATCACACACACAATATCGCAGTCACTCACACAATCACACAATATCACAGTCGCACACACACTGACACACAATCACGCCATCGCGCAATCACACACGCTCATCGGGACCAGCGCATGGACGCATATGCGCGGTTTGCTTCGGCCATCTTGTGCGTCTCAATCTTGCGCCGGATCACGGTGCCCTGTATCCACAACACACAACATGCAGTGATCGTCGTAGTCGTAGTCGTCGTCGTGCGGTAGAGATGTGAGGTGGAGGAACGGCCATCCGAAAACTGGAAAAGAGAGAGAAGCAGGCACAAACAGCGAGAAAGAGGGGTACACATACTCACACACACACATACTCACACACGCACACACACACACACACACACACACACACACACACACACACAACACACACACACACACACACACAGACAGGCGTGCAGCGGACCTGGTTGTTGTAGGCGTCCATGATCTCGGTGTAGAGCTTCTCAGCCATGGGTTTCCCCTGGCGCTTACGGGCGGCGGCGATGAGCCACTTAATGGCCAGCGCCTGGCGACGTCGCGGGTCAAGCGGGGTCGGCACCTACACGGACGAGGAGAGGCAAATTTGGGG